AACAGACATTTATTTAAAGAAGACATACACATGGCCAGCAAGCATATGAAAAAATGCTCAACATCATAAATCATTAGAAAAATGCAAATAGAAACCACATGAGATATAATCTCATACCAGTCAGAAGGGCTGTTATTAAAAAGTCAAAAAATAACAGATGCTGGCATGGTTGCCAAGAAAAGGGAATTCTTATACACCACTGGTGGGATTGTAAATTAGTTCAGCTGCTGTGGAAAGCAGTTTGGAGAGTCCTCAAAGAACTTAAAACAGAACTATCATTTGACCCAGCAATCCCATTACTAGGTATATACCCAAAGGAAAATAAATCATTCTACCATAAAGACACATGCATGTGCATGTTCATCGGTACACTATTTGCAATAGCAAAGATGTGGAATCAACCTAAATGTTCATCAGTGGTGAACTGGATAATGAAAATGTTGTACATATATGCCTTAGAATACTATACAGCCATAAAATGAATGAAATCATGTTCTTTGTAGCACTGTGGATGAACTGGAGGTCAATACCCTAAGAGAATTAATGCAGGACTAGAAAACCAAATGCCACGTGTTCTTACTTATGAGTGGGAACTAAATATTGAGTACACATGGACACAAAGGGTCCAATAGACACAAGGACCTACTTGAGGGTGGAGGATGGGAAGAGGGTGAAGATTGAAAAACTACCTATTGGGTACTGTGCTCATTACCTGGGTGATGAAATAATCTGTACAACAAATTCCCATGACACACAATTTACCCATGTAACAAACCTACTTGTGTACCCTCTGGACCTAAAATACAAGTTGGAAAGAAAAAAAAAAAAAAAAAAGGAAGTAACAGTCTTGTCTGAGTTCTATTCTCCTGAGTTCAGAGGCCAAACTGACATTGTAAAGAGCACCAAGGTGGGGAATTGAGAATCTCTGAATTCTCCCACTAGCCATGTCAGCATGAGCATGTTTAAGAATGTTGTGGGAAGAAATTGAGTGGCTGAATGTTCAATCCCAACTCCCCTTGTTATTTTCAGTTTTAGCAGAGCATGTGTTCCCTATGAGAAGAAAGCTCCTGGTAGAAGGAAAATCCTTTTTTCTGAACATCAAGAGGGTATTACAAGAACCTACCCATTTGCCTGAAAGCTGAGCCCTGTCCCTGTACCTGCTATGGCTTTCTCTCCGGCAGTGAGGGCTTTGTCTGACTGCAGGATGGATTCCTCTATAACCACCTGTGACTGCAGGAAGCTCTGGAGGACCTCGTTTGCCTGAAGAATCAAGAAGGAGCAAAGACCTGTCAGGCAGCAGAAATCTTGCCTTGTGATAAGGAAATTATCGTTCAACAAAGCCACAAATCTAACCTTGTAAACCTCACATTATTCTTAAGATTCCACAGCGGTTTCTTTCTTTCCACAGCCACAACAAAACGTCCAAGCTCTTTGTTGAGACATGAAAACCCTGTGCAGCAGCCTCCCTCATGCCTGTCCAGCCTCTTTTCCCAGGGATGCTGCTCACCACCCACCTCAGGGTGCAGACAACCAGATTTCTATGCAGTTCTACAAACCCACATCCTCCATAGTTTGCATTATTTGCTTTCTTTTTTCTTCTGCCTGAAAGCCTGTCTACCCTTTTCAAATTAGGATAACATCTATTGATACTTTACCTAATAGCTCTTACCTCGCTGGAAGCTTTTCTAGTCTAATTATTAATTAATTAATTAACTAACTTTTGATCACTGTTAAGAATGTTGATAATAGTTCACTAAAAGTAAACAATGTATTCAAATTTAATTTAAAAAGTTAAAACCTTAAAAAGACGGAACAGGTAACTATTTGGTCTATTTACAGGAGTAGCGGTGAATATAACGGAAAATTAAACAGTTGAGAAACTTTTTTTTTCTTTTTTGAGACAGTCTCACTCTGTCACCCAAGCATAAGCTCAGTAGTACTGACTTCAACCTTGAACTCCCGGGCTGAGTGCTGCTGCCTCAGCCTCCTGTGTAGCTGGGACTGCAGATGTGTACTAATTTTATTTTTTATTTTTGTAGAGATGGAAGTCTTGTGATGTTGCTCAGGATAGTTGCAATCTCCTGGTCTTAAGCAATCCTCCTGCCTTGGCCTCCCAAAGCATTGGGATTACAGGTGTGAGCCACTGTACCTGGCCTGAGAAACTTTAAGAATTTGAAACTTTAAGGGAGTAACATGGTTGTCCAAAATGGGAAATTAACAATCATGGAAAATACAACACTGCATAGACTTAACAGTCACACATGGGAAGGAAAAAAAGGCATAAATACCTCAGCCAACATGTGATTAGTGACTGAAATTTGGGTGGGTGGGGCACAACACAGAAGGAAGGACCTAGGCATTTTTTGATTGTTATTTTCCTTGTTTCCTTCTTTCAAAAAAAAAAAAAAAATCAGATTAATGGGTGTGTTAGGCCATTCTTGCATTACTGCAAATACCTGAGACTGGGCAATTTATTTTTTTTCTTATTGTGTGATTGTAGCTTATTCATTTTCATTATGACATAGTATGCCATTATGTGAATACACTAGTTTACTTGTTCTATTGTTGATGGACATTAGGGTAAAATTTCAGTTTGGTGCTATTGTGAATGGTGCTGTTGTGACCATTTCTGTCCCAGTCTTTTAAGTGAATGTATATATCTAGGAATGGATTTGCTGGGTCATTCAGTATTTGTTTTTCAACTTTAGCAATTGAAACCAAACAGTTTTCCAAATTGATGTTCTGATTTATACCTCATTAGCAATGTGTGAGAATTCCAGTTGCTTCATATTCTTGTCAACACTTGGAATTTTGACTTTTTAAATATTAAACAGTCACCTTCTTTTCATTTGACTTTGAAACTCAGATAAGTGAAATTACCTGACCTGTACTAGGCTTGGTTCTGAGAATGCAAAAGACCTTGCAGTTCAGAATTTAGCCCTTTTTCCTCTTTAACTGGTAGGGACTTAGGAAGTAAAAAATCAAACTCAGATTTGATATACGTATCTTTCCAAGGAGAATTACAAGTAGCTATTTATTTTCATCTGATCTGTATTTAAAATAGTTTTTTGGACACTACTGTTGTAGGGTGAGTGAGCAATAATGATTTAGGTTTAGAGTTAGGATCTACATTTAATTTTTTTTTTTATTTAACTTTTATTTTAAGTTCAGGGGCAATTTATAAAGCAAAGAAGTTTAATGGGCTCATAGTTTTGCAGGCTTTACAGGAAACATGGCTTCTCGTAAGGCTTCAGGAAGCTTTTACTCCCGGTGGAAGGTGAAGCAGGAGCTTGCATGTCACATGACAAAAGCAGGAGCAAGAGAGAGGGAGAGACAGAGTGGTTGGGGGAGGTGCCACACATTTTTAAATGACCAGACCTCCAGAGAACTCACTATCACGCAGACAGCAGCAAGCCATGTAGGATCTGCTCCCATGATCCAAACACCTCCCACGAGGCCTCACTTCCAGCATTGGGGATTACAATTCAATATGAGATTTGAGTGGGGACAAATAACCCAACTCAATCAATGGGGTTCACATGCAGGTTTGTTACATGACTATATTGCATGATAGTGAGGTTTGGGCTTCAGTCAAAACAGTCACCCAGATAGTGAACATAGTACCCCAAAGATAGTTTTTCAACCCTACTCCCCTCCCTGCCTCCTCTCTCTTGTATTCCCCAGTGTATATTGTTCCCCTCTTTATGTACATGTGTATTCATTGTTTAGCTCCCACTTACAAGTGAGAACATACAGTATTTGGTTTTCTGTTCCTGCATTAATTCACTTAATATAATGGCCTCCAGATGCATCCATTTTTCTGCAAAGGACATGATTTCATTCTTTTTATGGCTGCATAGTGTCTCAAGGTGTATATGCACCGCATTGTTAAAATCCAATCCACTGTTGATGGGCATATAGGTTGATTCTGTGTCTTTGCTGTTGTGAATAGTGCTGTGATAACATATGAGTGCAGGTGTCTTTTTGGTAGAATGTTTTACTTTCCTCTGGGACTATACCCAGTAATGGGATTGCTGGGTTGAATAATAATAATAATTCTATTTTTAGTTCTTTAAGAAATCTCCAAACTGCTTCCCACAGGGGAATTTACAATTTACAATCCCACCAGCAGTGTATAAGCACTCCCTTTTCTCTACAACCTCACCAGTATCTGCTATTTTTTCCTTTTTTAATAATATAGGCTAATTTCTAATTTTGTTTTACAAGTTTTTTGAAGTTGATTGATAAATAAAAATTATGTTTAAGAGGAACAGCACAATATTTTGATATATGTATACATTATGAAATGGTTACCATTATCAAGCTAATATATTTGCACCTCATGCAGTTATCTATTTTTGTATGTGTGTGGTGGGAACACAAGGAACCACTCTCTTAGCAAATTTCTAGTATGCAGTACATTGTTTTAACTATAGTCACCAGGCTATACACTAGGCATCCAGAACGTATTCATTTTATAACTGAATGTTTGTACCTACTGCCCACTATCTCCTCTTTCCTCCCACCCCTCTCCCCCTGGTAACCACCCATTCTACTGTGACTTTCACTAATTTTTTTTTTTTTTTAGATGGAGTCTCGCTCTGTCGCCAGGCTGAAGTGCAGTGGTGTGATCTCGGTTCACTGCAACCTCCGCCTCCCGGGTTCAAGTGATTCTCCTGCCTCAGCCTCCTGAGTAGCTGGGACTACAGGCATGCACCACCACGCCAGGCCAATTTTTTAATTTTTAGTAGAGACAGGGTTTCACCATGTTGGCCTGGATGGACTTAATCTCCTGACCTTGTGATCCACCTGCCTCAGTCTCCCAAAGTGCTGGGATTAGAGGCCTGAGCCACTGTGCCCAGCCAACTTTCACTCTTTTTAAATAATTTCACATGAAGGTGCGTTATGCAGTATTTGTCTTTCTAAGAATGGCTGCTTTCACTAAGCTTAATGTCCTCCAGGTTCATTCATGTTGTCGCCAGTGGTAAGATTTCTTTCTTTTTAAGGCTGAATAATACCTTATTTTATATATCTATATTTACATATAGATATGCATATATATCACATTTTCTCACTTGCTCATTTGTGGATGGACACAGGTTGTTTTCATGTCTTGGCTATCGTGAATTATGCTGCAATGAACACGGGAGTGAAAATATCTCTTTGAGATAGTGACTTTAGTTCCTTCGGAAGTACAACCAGAAGTCCACCAATAGCTGTTAAACTAATAAATTCAGTAAAGTTGGAGGATACAAAATTAACATACAAATTCAGCTGCATTTCTATGCACTAAGAACAAACTATATGAAAAAATAAGAAAACAATCACATTTATAATAGCATCAAAATAATAAAATGCTTAGGAATAAATGTAACCAAAGAGGTGAAAGATCTGTACACTGAAAATCATAAAATGCTGAAGAAATTAACTGAAGATGACATAAAGTAAATGGAGAGATATTCCATGTACATTGATTGGAAAAATTAATATTGTTAAAATGTTCATACTATCTAAAAAATCTACAGATTTACACAATATCTATCAAAATTCCAATGCTGTTTTTTTCACAGCAGTAAGAAAACCAATTATAAAATTCACGTGGAACCATAAAAGACCCCAAATAGCCAAAGCAAGAAAACCAGAGCCAAAGGCATCATACTATCTGACTTCAAAATCGACTACAAAGGTATCAAGTAGCACAATGCTGGCATAAAAACAGACATCTAACTCCATGGAACAGAATAGAGAGTCAGGAAACAAACCCACATGTTTACAGGCAAAGACTTTAAAAAAACATGTGCCAAGAGTACACCAAGAGAAAAAGGTAGTATCTTTAATAAATGGTGGAATGGTGGTAGGAAAACGGAACCCTTGTACTACACACAAATGTCAACTAAAAATTCGTTAAAGATTTAAACATAAGATCAGAGACTGTAAAACTCTTAAGAGAAAACCTGGGAAATACTCCTAGACACTGGTCTTGGCAATGATATTTTTGAATTTCACACCAATAGCACAGGCAACGAGTGCTAAAAGAAACTAGCAGGACTACATCAAACTAAGTTACCACTCAATAGAAAAAAGAAAGGAAAAAAGAAAAAACATACAGAATAGAACATATTTGCAAACCATATATCTGATAAGTGCTTAATATCCAAAATATATACGGAGCTCATATAACTCAATAGCAACACAACAAAATGAAATACAACAAAACTGATTTTTAAAAAATGAGCGAAAGACCTGAACAGACATCCCTCAAAAGAAGACATTTAAATGACCATCAAGTATGTGAAAGCATGTTCTGCATCACTAAACTTCAGAGAAATGCAAATGAAAACCATAATGAGATATCACCTCACACAGAATGATGATTACCAAAAAGTCAAAAGATAACAAGCGTTGGCAAGGATGTAGAGAAAAGGGAACGCTTAGACACCATTGGAAGGAACATGAATTACTATAGTCATCATAGAACACAGGACAGTTTCCTCAAAAAGAAAAATCATGAGTTTCCAATGGCTTTTAAGTACATAGATCAGCCCATCAGCTCCACCACTTGCTGACTGTGTCATCTTAGGAACTTTATTAGCCTCTTCGTGCGTTAACATTTCTCAATTGCCTATGCGGAAGATAGTAGTAACTAATTTACATTATTCTGAGAATGAAATTGATAATCCAACAAAATCACCTAAAACAATATCTGATACCCAAAATGAATGCTCAATGTCTATGAACCTTTCTGTTGATCATCACCATCATCATCATCACTATCAATGTATGCCAGTATGATAAGCATAAACACTCCATATCCAATTGAGTATTAATTTGTCCATCTTGTGTAAGACCATAAACTTCTGAAAACAAAGCTTTTCCTTTCATAGTGTATTTTCTGTATTTAGCACAAAAACTATCACATTATTTGATAAATAAAAGAAATGGTTTGTTTCACCTGGACTTCTGATTCTAAATCCTCTTTGGGAAAAAAATAGTTCTATTTTAGTAAGAGTAGCTAAATAATTGTGGATTTTAAGATTTAAAACATCAAGGTATTGCCGTGCTTCACTTTTTGTCCATAAATGGTGTTCTGTTCTTAGATTTTCAGAAGGGGCAACAAGGACCCTCTGACTATCCTCTGTCATCCATTCCCTTCTCCCCTTATTCCTCACCTTAATTCCTTTTCTGGGCACTAGTGTATAGTCCTGTTCAATCTTCTTTTTTGCTTCTAAGTAGATATTGTGCCCTCCAGGAACAAAGAAAGTTCCTCTTGAAATACTTTCCATCAAGAGCTCTGAAAGCTGCTTAAGCTCAGCCTGGCAATATTTGGCAGATGCCTCTTCATTCTGCAGCACAAAGTCTTTCTTCTTTTTCTCCATGGTGTCCTGCCAGAAAAGTGTAGGGGAAAAAACAGTAGAAAGAAGCTGTTAGAAGGGAAGGTCCAACTGTGATCCTCTTGGAAGAAGTAGTCTGATGGCCTCAGAGCGGACTGAGATATGGTGTAGACCAAGAGTCAGAAGACTTGTTTTAATTCCAGTTTGAATCAGTTCTCTGCATGGCCTGTGGAAAGTTCATGAACTCTATCTTTCCTTCAGCAAAAGATGATCAATGGTGATCTAACTATGAAAAATAAGCAAGGGACAATTCAGTTGTGGCAGTAGTAGTGTCCTTAGAGAGCATGGATTGCTATGGATAAAATGTGTACACAGAAAATCAACCCTTCTGGTATAATCACATCCCAGTAATGACTTGATTGTACTCTGAACAGAGCTTGGAATTCTTTTGAAATTCTTCCAAAAGGGATCTTAACATGTGAAGATATGGGAACATTATTATTTTTTGCTTACACTTGTAAGCTATGATTGCATCTGGGTTTTCTCAATATGTACTAAGAGATTTCTGTCACTTGTGGACTGGTAATAGACAGACTGAAAGAAGGTTATTCAATAACAGTGCCAACGGCAGATTTAAGATATCTCCCAGGATTTCCCCTCCGAAGTTTCCACACTCTCCATAGTCCCTGGGCTTATTAATACGATGGAGTGTACTCCAGTGTTTAGGTAACATTATATGATATCTGTTGACTTTTAGAGTATTCAAGTAGTACTGAGTATACTCAAGAAAGTATGTAAGAATTACCATATCACATGAGCTCTTTGAAAGCAGAGCTTTTTTGTTTACCTTGAGGCAGAAGAGAAAGCCAGAGAGATTAGAAACAAGAGAAACATTTGATGCATCATTGCTGACTTGAAGATGGAGAGAGGTTCCCCTGAGCATACAGGTAAGAAGTAAGCTCAATCAACACCTTGTTTTCAGCTTGTGATACACTGAGGGGAGCACACAGATGCCCTAAAAAGAACTTCTGACTTACAGAGCTGTGAGCTTACGCATTTTTTCACACTCAGAGTCAGGCAAGTGCTTCTTTATTTTACCTTTTTAGAAAATAAAAAAACAAAAATTGTATATGCATAATGCTTACATCATGTTATTTTGAAATGTAACATGAAATGTAACATAATCTGTACAAGTTAAGAATTCTGTTTAACTTGTATAGATTATGAAATTACTAAAGCTAAGTAACATATATATTAGCTCCAATATTTGTCATTCTAAATACTACTCTCTTAGTAATTTTCAAGAATGCAATACATTGTTATTAACTGTAGTTAGTATGTTGTATAAATGTGTTGTTAAATGGGCTACAATCATAATTTCTTATATATGATAGAAAATTAATAAATTTCCCGTATTTTAGAAAAATAAAAAACTGTAGCCCATTAAATTCAGTCACATAAAATAATCCAAGCTCCCTTTACCATGAGAAAGAGATGAACCATGGCATTAAAAAGGTGGGCTATAAGTATCATTCCAGAAAGGCAGGAATCAAGAAAAAAAAAATACGAAGATTACCACAAGCTTCTTCTGAAATTCCTGGTTTTTATCCTTGAAGGAGTGCTCCATGAAGACTGCAATGGCTTCCCTCTCACAGGCCGTGTGCACGTCCAGCAGGTCCTGGAGCGTGTCTGTGGGGAATTTCACTTGCTGGGCCATCCGCTGGCTGTAGTGGTCAGCTGCCCTCTGCACGGCCGCTGAGTTCTCACGCTGGGCCAGAGCTTCCATTGCATTCTCCAGACAAGGAACCGCTCCACTGTTGATGGCATCCAGGTAGGTCTCCACCAGCATCCCCAGCCCTGAATGATTTAGAAAATTTAGGGAATAGATAGAAAGTTTTCACTCATTGTTTTACAAGTGGTATGTATCATCATTCTAAAAATCACAAAAAATTCCATTTAACATGAATTTTCCCTCCTTCTCCTTCTTTTAATTCTACTATTACTACTACTACTACTTTTTACGAAGCCACTTTCTTACAATAACGTCCCTGTTGTTCCTATTTATTCTTTCTATTTTGTTCTCCAACTCATCACATTACAAAGTTAATTACTAATCACAAACAATATGGAGCAAGGGTTTCTTGAAAAAGAATACTTTTCTGCTTAAGTAAAAATTTAAAAACATTTATTCAGCAAAGTAAATTACATCATTTGTGGATCATGATTCTGAATGTAAACGCAGGTGCCTTTATAAAAACACTTAAGAGAGTGCCAGAACATTAAACCCTGTGAGAAGCTCTTTTCTGTACAGAGCACTAAAAGACTGCACAGGTAACATGTTCATGAAGCCAGCTTTGTTTATAAGATTATGCTGAATTTTGTATCTCAAAATCTCATTAGGCTTGCAGAAACTCATGACATGCTACTTACTTTCTGTTTTGTGTAAATTCACAACACATCTTTTATACCCTCACTGAGAAAAACATCCTTCACTTATCCCACACCTCATAACACAGATGTTATCTCCTTACCAGCTGTTCGTGCTTATAAGCTTAGTTTACTAGTTTTTGAGATACGGTAGGCCTCAATAAACACCCATATAGGGAAATAGACTCACGGTTTCCAGTGACAAGGATTCCCTCCCTCAGGGTCTTGGTCTTTGCATGGGTGAGGATATAAGAACAGAAGTTTTCTGATTGCACCTGAAAATTACTATCCAGTTGGTCTTCGGGTACTTCTTCAACATGGAGTAAGAGATTTTTGTCATTTGTTGGCCGGTCAAAGACAAAGCACTTCCGTTTTGGAAAGAAATGCCTGATCCACTCCCTGGGCTTGTTAGAATTTTGGATTTGGGGATTCTTCCCTGCAGAATTAGTGAAAAAAGTGACTACTGAAGAACAGCTTTTAAGCGAGCCTGAAGATTTTCATTTCCAAAGTTCCTTGCATCAACCACTACAGTCTCTCATGTCTGTGAATCTATGCAACAAAACCTCTCATGCAACCAAACTTATGCTAATCTACTTGAGTTATGAAAAGTCAATTTCTGCACAAAGCAGAGTCAGAAAGTTACTTCTGGAAAGGAAGGGAAGGCCTCCACCTCAAGTGAAGGAATTTATGGTTGGTTTCCTCAGCCGCTGTATGATGTCTGGTAGACTGATGATTTTTTAAATGTTTGCTGAATTATGATTAACTAAAATATGATAAGAAGTACTTTCTTTAAAAATTGTATATATTTAAGGTGTTATAACATGAAGTTTCGATGTGCATGTACATAGTGAAATTACTACTAAGTAAGCAAATTATATATCCATTACCTTCTATACTTTTCATCCCTTTTTTTTGTGGTAAGAGTACCTAAAATCTAATCTCTGTAAATTTTAAATGTAAAATACAATATCGTTAAGGATAGTTCTCCTGCAGTGTATTAGATCCCTAGACTTTCCCACCCTATATAACTTCAAGTTTGTACCCTTCACCCACATGTCCTCATTTCCTTCCTCACCGTGCCCTGGTAACCACTGTTCTACTTTCTGTTTCTATGTATTTGATGTTTTAAAATAGAATCCATATAGAAAAGAGGTCCTGTCGTATTTTTCTTCCTGTTTCTGGCTAATATTACATAGCATCATGGACTTCCTCAATCTTACTGTCCCCATGTCAGAAATGAAATGTAGGGCTTAAAAATAAAGTAATGCTAGAAACAAGGACAAGATGCGGCTGGGGAAAATGTCGGAAAGAGACAGAAAATACTCAGGTCAGATTATATTAGGTCTAACATTGTCTTGCAGAGGGATTCTGTGGCATGTATCAGTTATTCAAAACAAATATTTGTTGAAAGGATGAACAAATGAACAAACATGGATATTGATTGTAGGTGCCAGCAGGTATCCACTCTGCTAAATATAATCTGTTTAACAAACGTATAATAGATTGACAACATATTATATGAGACTGTAGAATGAAGTAGGTGATGTTATGAAAACAGTAAAATAAAAGGTTTGACAGTCCTATTGGAAGCACATGTCAGTGTATTTTTTTTTAAATTTCCTGAATCATTAACTGTATGAATCTCCTTTTTCTCTAAAGGATATAACTATCCAGGCTAATAAAATAGACCGAGTCAAATATATTTCCAAAATTTGATCATTTGCCTTCTTGTGATTCTGCGTTTACGAGCTTCCAAACTTATTAGGTAATTTTCTCCAAATAGAATAGGAGGAGAACTTGAAGTTAATAAGTAACACAAATATATGAGTCTTAGGATGTGACAATATTAATTGTAATCCTTAATATATTTTTCACAGTACTTATTGGTCTAAAATCATTTGATAGAACTTTGAGTTTTAAATTTCCTCAATGAATTTGAACCTCAGCCTCTGGGAAATTTCAAGTAAAAATAACCACAAAAATCATAATCACTTGTCAATCACCAACCACCACGAGCAAGGGCCTCAGTCAGGTCCAATATAAAAATTTGTGTCAGGTGTTGAAGAGCAGGTCCTAGTTGAGCCCACCCACTACTGAACCTTCTCCCATCTAGGCTATGCTCTGATACCTGGAATCAGCTTCAAGGCATTCTCCAGGTATTCATCTTCTGTGATGGGGTGTCCATCTAAATTCAGCTCCAGCGTAAAATCCCGAACAGTCCAAATAAAGTCTGGAAAGAAACTCACAAACTCGCTGGAGTCCTCAACTTCATCAGGCTTGGGGCAGGATTTTGCCCTGATTAGCTCTGTTAGTTCAGTCACATAGCTGGGATCTCAGCTAAGGAAGGAGTAGCACCCTATACCATCGTTTCCACATCTCACTTAGAAACAAGCTTTATACACGTTCCCTTTTGCACTGTGTCTTTTCTTACTCAACCAGGACAACTGAGTCACAGCAAAGAAGACACAGTATCAGTTTCCATTCCCCTAAACTCCATAAAACCTGCTCTTCACTTCCCGGAAGGATACTGCAGCTGCTCCAGGGCCTGGTGGTTGATGGTGTTCATGCTGTTGTAGATAAAGCTGCTGCTTAGAAGCACAGCTAGGGCAAAGATCCAAGAGTCATTCTTAGGGTCACTCTAGTGTTAAAGAAATAGAAAAAAGGAAGCCACAGTTTAGATACATCTCAAGGTCAACTATTTGTATCCACGTAACCAAAACTTAAGTCATTCCAGTTTTCCCAAAATGCTGTGTCTAAAGGAAACACAAATGTAAGCTTTATATGCTTGTCAGCATGATTTGGTGAAATTAAATAAATCAGCTATAGAAAAAGCAGCATAAGCATCTCTATTTTCCGTAAAAATGTTGTTAATGTATAATACCCAATCACATGATAAGTAAATATACTTCTTCCTTTATGCTTTATCAGTTGTGTAAGGAGAACATCTTGGTTTGAAGTCTCCTGAACGATGCTCTCCACTTTTTGTATGCAATAAATTTAAATTTTTCCAAACTTGATCTGATATTATTTGTGATACTTGAAAGCACATTACTGTTAGGACTTAAGAGTCTCCTTTTAATTTATTCACTTATTAATTCATTCATTTGGTTGTCCATTCACTATTTCAGCTGTAGTATATATAACGGAATAGTAAGGCATGTAATATGAATTTTGAAGATCATGTTAAAGTCAAACTGTATTTTTGCCATTTATATTGATCTTCTCAGGGCATCACTTTCTTTACATATTAAAAGTAGCAATTGACATGGTCAATGTGTAAAATATTTGATGCAGTGCCTAAAGCATAGTAAGTATGAAGTCATTAGTGAACAATAATCCTTCGGCAGATTTTCTCAATCATGGCTATATTAGTAATGCAAATGTTAATCAATCAAATTCACCAAAAATTGTTCAGCTATGTACAAAATGCAGATGCTGCCTTTGGTTTTGTGGATGCAAAGTTCCATAATCACAAGAAGATGACTTTCAGGAGTGGCAGATAGCATTGTCAACATAAAAGTGCAACCAAGATGATAATTTCTGCCGGGAGTGGAACCAAAGTCATAATGTAAAAAACAAAACAAACAAAAATCTAAAAAATGGGAGGTGAGAAGGAAGGAAAATAAAGAGAAACAAATGCTCTGTGAGTTCGAGCAAGAAGTTACTGTGTCTAACTAGAATAAGATGACAGTAGGTTGAAAAGAGCTGGACGTTAAGGAGTACATAAAATGAGGACTTGTGGAAATGAAAGAATTAAAAAGGTGAAAGACTCAACAGAATCCAAGTCAAAAATTTTAGGGTATGATCATATAATGGTATTACAGTTATTTAATTCAACTGAATGAGTGAATAGGTATGTGGAGAAGACAAGGCTAGAAATACTATTCAGGGCAAGACATGAAGGTCCCTTAAATAGAATTAAATGCTGACCAAATCCACAAATTCCAAGACCAACAAGTAATTTTGCTTCCATCAAGCATGTATATATTTGTATGTTTTGGTTCCTTGAACAGTCATACTTTTGCAAATAAAAAAGTTTATGCACATTACAATCTATTTCAAATCAATATTTCATCTTTGTTGTACACTGAAATGATGATTGATAACTTTAGAACTGTATCCTTAAATTCACTGTTTCTAAATGAGACCCCACACACATTTGTAATTTTTGCAGTATGAAAGCGAAAACACACTAATTCTATTTTCTTTTTTTTTTGAGATGGAGTCTTGCTCTGTTGCCCAGACTGCAGTGCAATGGTGCAATCACTGCAACCTCCATCTCCCAGGTTCAAGTGATTCTTCCACCTCAACCTCCGAAGTAGATGGGATCACAGGCACCTGCCATCATGCCCGGCTAATTTTTGTATTTTCAGTAGAGATGGGATTTCACCATGTTAGCCAGGCTGGTCTTGGATTCTTGACCTCAGGTGATCCACCCACCTTGGCCTCCCAGAGTGCTGGAATTACAGGTGTGAGCCACTGCTCCTGGCCTCTATTTTCTTTTTCTTTTTTTTTTTTAACTTTTAATTTAAGTTCAGGCTTACCCCCAAACTTAATAAAATAAAATAAATAAGTCAAAATATTTTATTTTAAGTTCAGTGGTGCCCCTGAACTTAATGAAATACCATGAAACTTAATAAAAGTTTAAAAAAGGAAAATTGAGAAAATGTCCCTGTCTGACAGCTTTGAAGAGAGTACCGGTTCTCCCAGCACAGAGTTTGAGCTCTGAGAATGGACAGACTGCCTCCTCAAGTGGGTTCTTGACCCCCGAGTAGCCTAACTGGGAAAGACCTCCCAGTAGGGGCTGACTGACACCTCATACAGCTGGGTGCCCCTCTGAGACAAAGCTTCCAGAGGAAGGATCAGGCAGCAACATTTGTCATTCTGCAATATTTGCTGTTCTGCAGCCTCCCCTGGTGATACCCAGGCAAACAAGGTCTGGAGTGGACCTCCAGCAAATTCCAACAGACCTGCAGTGGAAGGTCCTGACTGTTAGAAGGAAAACTAACAAACAGAAAGAATATGCACACCAAAACCCCATCTGTATATCACCATCATCAAAGACCAAAGGTAGATAAAACCACAAAGAAGGGGAGAAACCAGAGCAGAAAAACTGAAAATTCTAAAAATCAGAGCACCTCTTCTCCAAAGGAACACGGCTCCTCGTCAGCAATGGAACAAAGTTGGATGGAGAATGACTTTGATGAGTTGAGAGAAGAAGGTTTCAGATGAATGGTAATAAAAAACTTCTCCGAGCTAAAGGAGATGTTCAAACCCATCACAAAGGAGCTAAAAACCTTGAAAAAAGATTAGACAAAAGGCTAATGAGAATAAATCGTGTAGAGATGACTTTAAATGACCTGATGGAGCTGAAAACCATGGCATGAGAACTATGTGATGCATGCACAAGCTTCAGTAGCTGATTCGATCAAGTGGAAGAAAGGGTATCACTGATTGAAGATCTCATGAATGAAATGAAGCGAGAAGAGAAACTTAGAGAAAAGAAGAGTAAAAAGAAATGAACAGATCCTCCAAGAAATATGGGACTATGTGAAAAGACCAAATCTATGTCTGATTGGTGTACCTGAAAGTGATGGGGAGAATGGAACCAAGTTGGAAAACACTCTTCAGGATATTATTCAGGAGAACTTCCCCAACCTAGCAAGGAAGGCCAACATTCAAATTCAGGAAATACAGAGAACGCCACAAACATACTCCTTGAGAAGAGCAACTCCACGACACATAATGGTCAGATTCAGCAAAGTTGAAACGAAGGAAAAATGTTAAGGGCAGCCAGAGAGAAAGGTCAGGTTACCCACAAAGAAGTCCATCAGTGGATCTCTCAGCAGAAACTCTACAAGCCAGAAGAGAGTGGGGACCAATATTCAATATTCTTAAAGAAAAGAATTTTCAACCCAGAGTTTCATCTCCAGCCAAACTAAGTTTCATAAGTGAAGGAGAAATAAAATCCTTTACAGACAAGCAAATGCTGAGAGATTTTGCCACCATCAGGCCTGCCTTACAAGAACTCCTGAAGGAAGGACTAAACATGGAAAGGAACAACTGGTACCAGCCACTGCAAAAACATGCCAAATTGTAAAGACCATTGATGCTAACATGAAACCGCATCAACTGACAAGCAAAATAACCAACTAACATCATAATGTCGGATCAAATTCACACATAACAATATTAACCTTAAATGTAAATGGCCTAAATGCTCCAATTAAAAGACATAGAATGGCATATTAGATAAAGAGATAAGACCCATCAGTGTGCTGTATTCAAGAGACCCATCTCATATGCACAGACACGCATAGGCTCAAGATAAAGGGATGGAGGAAGATCTACCAAGCAAATGGAAAACAAAAAACAGCAGGGGTTGCAATCCTAGTCTCTGATAAAACAGACTTTAAACCAACAAAGATCAAAAGAGACAAAGAAGGCCATTACATAAAGGTAAAGGGATCAATTCAACAAGAAGAGCTAACTATACTAAATACATATGCACCCAATACAGGAGCACCTAGATTCATAAAGCAAATCCTCAGAGACCTACAAAGAGACTTAGACTCCTACACAATAATAA